AAAGTACCTGAAGACGCCAATCCGAAAGTGCCTCCAAATTTTCTACCAAACTTCGAAAATCACGGAATTGTTTAGGCTCACAGGAACGAGACGACTGCTCAGTCTCCTGCGCCAATTTGCAAATACTTTCAGGCTCCATTTCGCTGCCACTCGCAGCCACCGCGTTCGCTATATTTTCATGCTCTGTCATATCAGCAGTCAATTTCGGTCTTTCATTATCTGTAAAGCAAATAAATAACAACCAAAAAAAAAAAGATCGAGCAGGAAAAAGTGGGAAAAAACGGCTCCAAATATGGCTGTTTGTTGCGCCGACTCGTCAAAGAAAAATGCTTTATGTTCCTCCCAAGCAGCTAATTTCATTACTTCGTTTTCAGAAGTGTAAAAAGCACGACCCACTGCCTGAATATTCATGCGATCGCTGTCGCAGAGCAACATTTCAGAAGAGGAGTGAGTATAAATGCTGTTTGGTTGGCCTATGTAATGCGCTAGATGCGCTGAACAACCACTAAAATGCCATCATGCGTGAAATACCCAAAGACAACAGAACTCAAAATATTCCACATTCGATTCTCAAAAGAGCATGCGATACGGCCCCCATGAACAGCAAATCACTGCTGTCTTAAAGAGGCCGCATTCGCCCTTAGCAAAACGGCTGCAGTGCAGCTTCTGTGCCTTCTATACCGGTTAAAAGAGAGTACCGGAGGGAGCCGCACTGAAATTACACTGGACTAAGAATGACAACTTCATCATTTCGTCGAAATGCGTGGTAAATTGGCTGGCTGAAAGAGAGTGCCATGTCACGTCTCCAGGCCACAACTTCAAATGGCGATGAATGGAGGTTAAAAACTGCTCAAAGCAATTGACTGGCTAATTGACTAGCAATTAAAATGACAGTCTATAAACATACCGGACGAAGAAATCTCACGATTATTGCCAATATCAGTGAGGACGACATTGTGCAATCGTGAAACACACTTCGAAGTGTTGGCCCCATTACGAGGTTTTTTGGTCGTACTTCGGCAAGACGCCTCATCGTTGCAACAAGCCTTCCTTTTTCGGAGCTGTCTGCATGCAGGAGAAAGACTGGAACATCCTAGAAAACATGAGAAAGCCGTCTGAATGAAAGGGCATATTCGGATAGCATGAATTACTCTGCGCAAACGTAAAAATAAAAAAAGAAAATAAACTGTAATATTTTCTTAAATAAATAACAAATACAATGCGCATCAGTATCGCCGAAAATGGACTATACGAGGGCATATTTCAATGTCCAGTTGATTTCGAAACTCTCAAGTCGAGGCATATTTGAAATGCACCAAAGCCAGGTCCCACCGATCTCGAAAAGAGAAAGTATCCACAAAAAAAGGGGATTGATGCGGCATTACTTGCATCGACTGCTAACTGTACCTTTAGTGAAGTGCACCACTACAAGTTCTTTCAAAACCGCCGTTTGCCCAGAAACTATGGTGTGAAAAATTGGAAGCCACAATTCTCAAAACTGGATTCATTCTTACCTGATTCGCTCCTCTATCCCCTTCTCTCCTCTCTACCCTCGCATCTTTGCCCTCGTCCTCTCACTCATTTTCTCGCCAGTCTGTTCCCATGTAATTTGATACATGCTCATTGCATACACGACGGATAGGAGACTACACCCATAACTGCCACTTCTATCCGCAGACTGTCTGTGCATAACTAAGGGACGAAACCGCATTTAAACATGCCTTCTTGCACATGTTATTTAGACTGATCTCCCGTTCAATTGCCTGGTTCAGTCAAATAATAAAAAGACGGCTAAAAACCGCAGCTGTCACAGATGTTATGTGCCACTAAAAATACAAAACTGGATTAATTAAAATGAATAAAAAGGGAATTTTTTTTTTTTTTTTTTCTACAAATAGAGATCTGCTACGCGACACCTTGTAACGGGGTTCTTCCTTGGAAGAACAGAGGCATGTGCAGCACATAACACTACATGAATTAACTGCTATGAAGAACTGTACATACAAATATTAACGGAACTTGTTGAACATTTCCACCACTGCGGTCCGCAAACGGAAAACCTGCTGGTCCGGAAAAATCACAGCACATGTAGTTAGAGTAAAATAAGCAAACGCGTGTCACACGAATGAGGCTGCTGATTACCTGCTGAAGGGGAGTTGTCACTCGGCTTGTCCTGAATACTTGATGAGGAATAATCATCCGAATTGTTAGATGAACCATCATTTTGTATCACATTACTAAAAGAAGTCATAAAAATCGATGGGAGCATTTTCAATATCGCTAACCCTCCCGCAATTCTTTTCAAGCATTTATCC